GCTTTCACCTAACAAGACTTGCTGTGTTTAAAGCCTTTCCAAGTTAGATGGCATGAAGAACTAGGTTTTTGAACACCCCCTAGGTGCCAGACACGGCACTCCAGGTTTGCGTATGTAACCCACGTTGATGCCACTTGTTTCAGGAAGGTAGCCCTGGGTTCAAATGTTGAATTACTCTCCTCTGAATTCTTCTCGTGAGGAACCCTGGTAGCCTAGTGGGTTACACATTGGGCTACTGAGGGCAAGGGCAGCAGTTGAAAACCACAAGTCGCTTCTCAGGAGAAGGATGAGGCTTCCTACTCCGGTGGAGAGGAGCAGCCTCGGCGCCCTCGGAGCGATTGTACTTGTACTGCAGGGCTGCTACGAGGCAGAGTTGGCGCAATGGCGGTGAGTATGGATGATCTGTGTCCCTAAACAGCCCACCATAGCGGACTTGGTGCACTTGCCAATTTGAAATGAGAAAACTGAAGATGGAAATAAAATTAACCCATGTTCCTTTGCATAGTTCCGGAAAAATAAAATCAGGTTTTTCGTTTCAATCTCCTGCCCCAGTGGCATTGTGGGTTAAACATCAGGCTGTGCAGACCCACCAGCCTCACGCCTGAGAAACATTAGGATTTCGGCGCCCGTAAAGATTGACAGCACTGGAAACTCCCAGGAGCAGGTCTGCCCTGTCTTGTAAGACCGCCACAAGTCAAAATCAGGTTTATGGGTTTTTTGGTTTGAGCAAGTTCTCATCCATAAAGCTGCCTCTCACTGTTGATTATATTATAATTATCTTAGCATAATGGAAAACACGAAAAGCCCCAGGTGTGGATACATTTTTGGAGGTGATAAAGACATGCTGCCATTTCATATGAAGTTGAGCACCCAGGCTAAAAATTTTAATAGAACATCCTTGGCTCTTTATTAATTTCTAAGCATTTAGTCTACTGACGCAGGAAGACTTGGGTGAATTTCCTGAGGGGGTAATTAGGACCTGATAAAAAGTAATTGTGGGACTCTACTTGAATCTGTAAAAATCCTTTTGTAATTGACTCAAGCCCTGGCCACCCGTCCATGTCAGGGTAAAATGATGTTCCTCAGTTTTCAATGGCCGATCTCTTAAAAGCAGAATGTCAGGCCGTTCTTTTGACGCACCACTAGTAGACTCAAACCTCAACACTTCGGGTTCGCACCACAGCACAAATCTATTTGTACCATATAAGGATAGATACTCTGGGAATTTGATACTCTGGGAATTTTTCTGAGACTTCCTTTCCTTATTGTTAAGATGGGACTTTTATAACAAGTCCTGAGCAGCTCAGATTAGAAATAACATGTGTACCATGCCTGGTCCTTGGCTGATGTTGAAAAAGGCAGAACTAATAAAGTAATATTTAAAGAATATTTCAACTAATATTCATTAACAAACGAAATAACTGTTCTTCCATAGGTGAGTTAGTCTCAAAAGGGCTGTAGGTTTAGATGCCATTCATCAAGGGGACTGACGGCGAAGGAAATCTTGGCTTTATTGATGCTTAGAGGTCTCCGTTAAAGTTCTGTGAATAACCTAGGTTAGCAGGCAGAATGAGCAATACTTTGGGGAACCACTTGAAGATCAAGCCCTGCAACTGTCCTTTTTCATTAGCCTATATCTTTATTAAACACCATTCCAGGAAAAATGTATTCAGTATGTGCTGGATACTGTGCTTCCCTTCTACAGCACTCCTAAAGGAATGCTTGTGGATTACTGTCTATGAGCCTAGGAGCTCACCTGTATTGAAGAGCCAGCTAAGCAACGTCTTCTCTATGCGACCTTCTCCACTTCCTCAAGGCATTTACTCCTTTATTTTCAGAATCCCATCCACCACCACCACTAAATACATATTTCATAACAGCTCACATCTATCACATCTTTTTGCGTATATTCTCTATATTCCACTAACGCCTGACATAAAATGTTTTGTTAAAGAAAGAAAGCATTACAGTGCCCAACAGCAGCATGCTAGTATATTTTAAATATATTATTCTCCACTGTCCTTTCACAAGGCAACCTGAAACTATGTGTAGTGCATGTAGCCATACAGTGGATACATTTTGTATTTTTAAATGTTTATTATAAATTATTAAAAGAGGATTTTAGATTGCATTCCTAAGGAGGCTTAGTGAGATTCCATTTAAAATTCACCACAACGACGCATGAATCCGTAGGCACATGTGTAGCTATTAATAGAGGAGAGGAATGGTATGAAAAGCTGTTGGAGATGATTATGTGGTTCACGGAATTAAGTTTGAACTTTATCTCTCTGAACGTCTCTCAATTATTTTTCATAATAAGTGTATACACATTTGCAATCACACCAAACAATAGAACTCAAATACTGCTTAGAGTTTTATTTCCATTAGCTTTTTGTTAATAAAGCACCGTAGAGACTCATGTATAAGCTGAGGTTTTTCAGCACATTCTTTATGCAGTTTTTGTGGTAAAATTAGGTGCCTCGGTTGATATTCATGTCAGCTTATACTAGAGTGTATACGGTAATAGTAGGTACTTCAGAGTTTTGTCAGAACCATACCGCTCATAGAGGGATTGGATGAGGGTTTTACTGAATGGTGCTACACGCTTCCTGCCACACTGTCCAGGACCACTTTACCTGAAGCAGCTATTACTGCCCTTTCACCTTTATGCAGACTTTCAGGTGAAAATCTTGCTTTCCGCGAACCCAAGTCTTCA